TTTTCTTAATAAAGTTTTTNTCACAGATAATGTTATTAACTATATGTACACAAAGTTTCGCGACGATCGTCTGATTGGTTTATGAATAAAAAAATTAAATAATAGCTCGACGAAACGCAACAGCAACGGCGCAAGAAGCGGGAAATTCAAAATGTTCCAGGACGTAAATCCTTAAATATTTGAATATTATGGTAGATATTTATGTATTTCTGTATAAAACATAAGCTTATATGTGTGTGTGAGTGTGTGTACATAGGTTCCACCCGTACCCATAACAAAACATTGTACTATAATAACACATGTTTGTTTTTCTTAATAAAGTTTTTGGTTGGTAATTTTTATACAATACAATTTTTTTACACAAGATAACAAAATCACATGCTCGTAGTAATTGCAGAGACTAGAGTCTGTCCTAATTATTTAACATATCACTTTCAATAAGACTTTTCAAGTCACATAAAAATTCAAGAATTTTATTTACATTAGCTACGAATATAATTGTATGTACATATATCTGTCTCAAGTCTTTTTAATTATTTACTCATTTTTATTACATTGCTATAACGAATAAAAATCAAATACTTACATCTTTAGCACAAATACATTACAAATATACACATACGCTGCCGTAACCAACGCAGCGATGCCAAGTCTTCATTAATCGCTACTTCCCCCTTGCCCCGCAAGTGGTTCCCCCCCCCGCTATCTCTACCGAACGTCCTTACGGTCGTATAAACTTTTTTTCTCATCTCATTCGCGCTTTGTACACCAGTGCTACGCGCGCGCGAGTGTACGGATATTTTGCCCGGGTATAGCGTTACTGGGGCACTCGTGTTATCGCCTCTTATATAAAGTGGCTAAACAATTAGCGGGCCGCCGGTACGAGAGCCTCACTGGCTTTTGCTTTGGTATAGGACTCGTCAAAAAGACGTTTCATTCCTAGCTTGATATTTTCGTCGCAAGTGATTGTGGTTAAATCGAGAGGCTGCGTATTTTTTTTAAGTCATTGAAAAAGACTGCAAAAATCTTGTCGACTCTTGCAAGTGTGCAACCTTAGATTCAAACCAGTATTGCTACGTACGAAGAAGCTAAATTTTCAAAGCTATGCAATTAAATTGAATAACAATATAGGTAGGCGCTCGCGAGTCGTTTTGTAATACTACTGGCATCGTAAACGTGCAGCCAACTTGTTGTTATCTCTTGCGTATATGCTTTCTTGTGTCACAAGCTCGAGTACTATTTTTAACTCTTAATAACAATAACGATCCAGTACTGGAGTATGTTGTACGATGAAAACTTTATGAATAAAAGTGACCTCGCGTTGTACGGTTAAGTATATACGAAAAAAAAAAAAGAAAATCTATTCCTGGCTGCTGTCAAATCGAGCAGTGTACGCAAAGTCCGAACAAAAATGTGAAATAAATATTTATCACGATTTACCGATACATTGCTCTTTAACGTAACACTCCGCACGCGAATAAAAATCGATGAACCACAACGATTCCACGACTACTCTTGTATACGTACAAAAACAGACGCAACAAGCACCTGCTAGTCTCGTCGGACGTAACGATCTAATCACACTCGAATACTTTTACCCCGCGGGGCTGCCATAAATTACACCTGCCGAGTTGATGCTCAACTTCTCCGGGCATTAATCCCCCTCCCGTTCGTTGTAACAGATCTCTCGAAGACACCGCTTGGAGAGGAATTTTTTTAGCTGGCGAAGCAATTTCCCCGCTGTACTAATCGTCAATCATCGCGGATTTCTAATACCCCGTGCTTTCATTGCCCGGCGCAATTTTCCCAACAAATCCATACAGTATCCGTCCTCCGGGATGTATATTCAATTAAGGCTGGCTCTCTTTCGCTCTCCCAACTTTCACGAAGGCCGATCGAGCGGCGCGTAAGGTCGTTACCAGCTGTATACTCTCCAAAGTAAGAAATTTCGTGCGTACGTACCAGCGAGAGCTGAAAATCTCAATAACACAAAGTACATTATCCAACGCTCGTGATAGAACTTTCGAAGCTTACGCAACTGACGCTGGGTAGGTATGCTTGGTCCATCCATGGATTTTCTCAAAAAAAAAAAAAAAAAAAAAAAAAAAAAAAGCTGTCGGGGATGACGTTCGAGGGATAAAAATGTCAAAACGTACACATATGTGTACAAACTATATATGCTATAGCTCTTCTGTACTTTCTTTCACATCAATTATCTATACGAGAATGTGTTTATGTATCGATCGAGTTACGCGCACGGGCTACAGAGCGGCGATGTGCGGGCGTCGGCGATTGCCAAGGACTGACCTTTCCGTCGTAACGCATGGAGCGGCACCCGCTCACTTGTGCACGCGTGCATGTGTGTTATAGATACACGTTCGCCTACCGCTTGAACACTGACCTTTTATCGACCGTCCGATCGCTTTTTCCACGCGAGTATGATACTGTAGCTGTTTTTCGTCCTTCTTCTTTCTTTTCCTTCCGTTTGTCTGGACTCCTAGAGTATTTGGAATAACGTTGGTACACGTGTACGGGGAAACAAGACAATGAAACATCCGGATATGCTAGTTTTCATTCTTCCTTTTTTTTACTCCACGTAGGAAGTTGGGTGAAGTAGAAGCTTGTGCGGTTTAACTTTTCGATCTTCCATATAATGCGGATACGATTGGGTATCCAATGAATGGTTTGCTTTTTCATTGGCATAACTTTTGTGGCCATATTTAAGTTTTATGGTGTTTAAAAAGTACAATAAAACTATATAATTTCTTTGATAAACATTAGTCATATGAAACAACGGAGTACTCAAATTGAGCTTCAACTAATATTTTTATACAAGCAAGAGAATTTTTACAAAAATCAAGAACTAAGAATTTTCATTGACATTTTGTTATTTTATATTGTTCATCTTTCAATAGGCTGCAAACTTATACATTTTTTTACCATTGAAACTTCTTATTTTGAACTTTAGTTCCAACATATCCATACGTTATCCTTGTAAAATTTACATAAACAACGTAAAAACATACCATGTCCTTTATTTGTTTATTTTCCAACAAAACAATAAATGAGTCCAAAAAAACAAACGTAGCGTATAGGTGTAGAGTAATTCTCAGCAACAATTAATTCAACTCCAAGTGACAGTATGAGTATAGAGGAGTTAAGTCATAAAGCGTGCGAAATTGGATTAGAGTTTTTTCAGCTCGTGCAGATCAAGACTCGCCGTCTCTTTGAGATTAAGCTTAAACATTGATTCGGAGGTTTTTCGCGTCATCTCACCTCTACTATGCAGCTCTTAATACCCACATGCCACGGTAGCTCTAACGAGGAAACGTCAAATTGTGGCGTAAGTGAACGCGAATTAAGTGCTTCTCTCGCTCTGTCGTCTCCCGTCGTCGTCGTCTCGGCCTCGACGCAGCCACACTCTGTTCATTCGCCAATACCCCAACTGCACGCTACCAAGTATACTTCTATACAGCCACTATATTAAACTGCACATTCAGGGCTAAATTTAGACATGGTGGCTCCGTACGTATAGACCCATACAGGCATATTAGCTTCGATACGATTCCTGCTCTCATGTGTATACTCCTTTGTATATGGCTCCCATGAATCTAACAGCTGAGCTTCGTCCCTTACTGTCTGTCATTCTGTAGCCCCGAGTTATCGATTACAAACTTGATCGAGAGAAACAGTATTGTATGTGTATTCTCAGTTGCTTCACACGCATAAATCCAGATATTTGTATTTTCTGATGCTGGATAATATGTTGAATAGCTTAAGATTTTGGAATTTTCGCGATTAGTTATTCAATATTTTTCATGCCCCATCGAAAGCTCATGCTGCTTTTAGAATAAAAAATATTAGCAGATCATAGAAACAAAGAGATGATCCAGCTCTGCCATAATAAATATAATTTTTTAAACATCAGAGTGGTTATTACTTTCGTTGATGCATAGCTGAGTTATCCTTTCCAGACAACAAAACAATCAATATACATTAGCGTAAAAACTCAACTCTCGAAGCTGTCCTCGATACTATTACACTACAGCTAACTCAGTTGCGAACTTTGGAATGTGCTAATGAGTTTCAGCATTGCATTCTCGCATAGCTCAATGAGATTTCACTCGATTACAAGCTGGCCAATATACATCGGTTGCGCAACGCAACGCACATCGTAAACTGCGTTGACGCTAGGATTTTCGCTACGATCATTGGACTTTTCAAACGCGATGCATGTACTCATTTGTCGATGCTCGAATTTATAATGACCATTCTCTGGCTGGGTAAACAATCCAGATAAAGCTTAACGGGTCTCGTTTGGCTCTAACAAGCTGCATTTTTCCAACTTGCATCGGGAGAAGAAAAAACACAACATAGTTCTCCGCGATACCAATTTGCTGTTATTGCGTTTAAGCAGTTTCAATTAGGGGGCCAATTTGATGGCAATTCAGCGCACGTTGTTCGATCGGAGACTCGCGTGGTTTCTCACTGGCGAGGCGCTTGTTTTCAAATTTTTCTTTTCCTTTTCACCAGACACGTAAATTACTTTGCTCGAATGAATTGAAGTTTGTACCCCTTGAAGCAAGAAAAAGTTGGGAACGCTTAGTTTGAATCGAAAGTGAAAAAAAAAAGGAAAAAAAAAGCGCTGACGCAGGTGTGCACTTGTAGATTTTAGAAAGTGGTTCCAGTTTTCACTACCAAAAAAACAAAAACTATATTACAATGTCTGAAGAAATTCACCGACAACGTGAGGGTATACACGAAAAGTAAAACCGTAGTGGTAAAAAAAAAAAATAATCCAAACAGAGATCGATAACCGCGCATTGTGCGCTAGCCTGCCCCCTCCCCAAAATGCGAATACATGTACGAACAGTCCTCATTAACCCCGAAAATGTAAAATCAGGGCTCTAAGGTGGCAGTCTTTGTCAGACGAGGCAGCAGTGGGAGCAACGATGGGGAACAAAGAAGTAAGGGATTAACAAAGGTGAATGCCAAAAGGAGTGGCGGGCGCGGTGGATGCTGTGGCCCGTGCTCGGGGATGAGGGGCTGAGGCCCTCGTCGCCACAGCCAGTGTCAGCCGCTCGTTGTTCGTCGGGAGGCGGTGGAGTGGTGGCCGCCCTTGCCAGGGTCGCGTCCTGCAAGCCTAGTAACAAGCTGGCGCCCCTGCTGTTTTGTGCGCCTTGCAAGCCGAGCTCCCAAGGCAAGAATCGGGCCACCGCGCGGTGGTACGTCAAGCAGGTAAATGAGGATCCCGGTTAAGTACTTGGCTGAGAATCAAGTGATTTCTTTTTTCGTTTTAAGTGATGAGCTCGTTTTTTCTAGTCGCAGTGCACTATAGTGTTACGCATCAGCTATGAGTTTCGTTTGCATTTTGGTGTTTTTTTTTTTTTTTTTTTTGTTTATTGTGCTGATTAGAAAATGTTTTTTTTTTTCCTTTTTTTGCTTCCACTGTAGCAATTTGTGTAATGCTTGCTGTGTATTCTAAATTTTAATAAGTTGTATCAAGTTAAAATAATGCTCGCTTTTGAAATTGAAAACTTGAATCGGTTTATTAAATTTTAAATTTTGTTCAATAACTTTCGAGAGGACAGTCATCCTCTCTTGCACATCTTGACAACTTGGGGCAAGAAAGTGATGCCTCCTATTGAAAAAAACAATGTTATCTCGGTAATATACTTTTTTTTCTAACATCATCATGGCTGCTTTCTTTCGAGATTCCGATCTTATCAAGGTCTAAGCTTTATTGTCTGATTTAAATGTTCATAAAAATCGGAAGAACAGATTTTTTGAGCACTTTGTCCCAACCAATTCGAGACAACAGCCTACACTATTCTTCTAATTACTATAATCTAAATACAAGAAAGATTCGTAAGTTGAAAAAATAAAAACGAATGAAGACTATAAAATTTAAATTCTCCCTCTACACAGGAGACGACACAACTTTCCTCGTTTTCTCATCAAATGTCATCATTACGCGTAGTATTATTTTCCAGGGATCCCAATCCTAACAAAAGCAAATCAAACGCTGTAAGTCACCGTCTTCTTACTACGTAACACAATACAAGCCGTTCCCAATAGGAGGGCAATTCTTTTTTGCAATTCGCTAAGGCGATAAATACTCACCTCTTTCCCACAACAATCATCTTGCAAGCATGTGTATGTGTTTATGTATACATATATGTATGTGTATGAGTGCACGTAACGTAACACACGATGTATTACACGAAAGAATGTCGTATAGTGGAAAAGGGACTTATATGGGTAAAACATACTACTAGTGCAGTGTTGGGCAGTCACTTGTGTACGGTGTGGGGGTCCACGCTACCATATAATTATTCAGCAGTAGCCGGACGGGAAGTTGAGAGCTCGAAGTACCTGGGTAGGTTATATATATATATATATATATGTATATGTATACGCAAGTGTACGAACAAGACTCTTGTTCTTGTTCTGCTTTGAAAAGAAGAAAATCGCTAGTGTAGTGTTTTCATGTGTGTGTCTGATGCCTTTGTTCGTCAGACCGAGGCGAATGAGCTGCTAGCTTGTAACGCTCTTACACAGGGCGTATACACGTATATCCTTGACTCGTTGTGATTTAACTTCTTTATTTTTTTTCGTTACCTTCTTTTTTTTTCATTTTCATACGAGTCGGGAGTTTTGCTGTGTGTCAATTTTCGGCGAAAACAACTCCTTTTCGTTTTATACCTTTTATACAAAAATCATATTTCATGTGCAATGTCAAGTGACATCACTTAGACGTTTTTATTTAAAAGACATTATTTTTCAATTTATTTGGTAGTATAAAAACATCTACATGTGAATGGGTTATACATTTTATAATTTACATATCAATGGACTTTTATTTACAAGAAAGTAAGTTTCTTAAAACAAGGAGAAATAATTGAAATCAAACAATATCATTGGAATCATTTTATTGCAAACAATATTGTAATGAATAAAATAGTCGTAGTATTAGGAAATGGATGAAAAAAATTTTAAATCGCTAAAAAACACTTTTATGAGCAAAACGAGAAAAATATAAATTCTAAGTAAAAATATAGATTGCTTGGCTAGGCAAAAGAAAGAACAATACTTTTTCAAAGAAAATATTACTGTTACGCATTTTATGCCAAGTACGCATTTTATAAACTATATTGTCACTCTTCACTTACCCATCAGTATAGTTCTATGCTCTTGTGGCGATTCAATCGAGTTTTAAACTTGAATGTCCATGACAATTGACGCCAGATAATGAGCCTCCGAACAATCGAACCTTCTCCTAACAATAAACGTCTGTTGATACGGTTCCAGAGTCACACCGTACAATTACTCATGGATAAGGGGGTCCCGCATTTCGTCGTCGCTTTTATTTCGCCGATAATCCCCAGCCTTGGCTCCCTCACACATGAGTAGCTATTTACACGCACATTGGGCGCTTGCCTCTTTTATTTTTGCACGTACGAGGAAATCACATGATATAAAGCAAGGCTTACTCATCCACCCGCTGATCTTTTGCGCGTGTTTACTCTCCTGGGCCCTAATGTGCGCGCAAAAGTCAAGCCTTTGTTGTGAGCCTGCTTTGCTTTTTCCACATCCGCTGCTGGCCTTTTTATTCAATTTACTGATCGAAGGAAGATGAGCTACAAACCGTAGCGAACTCCCGTCATCTTCGTTAAAAATCACACCTTAATTTTTTTTCCCACAAAAATATTATATAAGACTATGCTTATTTTATTTTATTTTTTTTCTTCATTTTTCTTGAGGTTCACTTTAGCAAATTACTAGTTTGGTGTTGTACGGAATGTCTATATTATATTTAGAGGTAAATTCTCTCTTTAGTGTACTTCCAGAAATTAATATGTTTTTGAAGGATTGTTTCTTATTGCACGTGTTTTTTCCAGGATTAAAATCTTGTGATTAATTATCATTCCTCGATCCAACTATATTCTTTATGACAAGACCATTACTCTATCGTTAAATAAAAGATTCGTCAGGCAATCTACAGTTGAATGGAACGAAGGCAGGTACAAAAGTTACAGCAAGAACCAAGACTCAGTCGGTCGGACGAGCACACCGTCCACCTCACGCACCCAAGGCTGAGGTAAAAGACACTGCGCACACACGCGCGGAGTTACGGCTGGCTTGGCTCCTCGCGCGCCTTTAATTACCAGATCGTCTTGTAGAATTGCTCACGACCACTGCATCCTTGCTTATTTTTTTCCTTGTTCTTCCTCGCTTCTTCGTCTCTTGCAAAGAGGAGAGAGGACTAGGGTGGCAATGACACGCTTTCAACTTCTCACAGTGCGATTAGAGCTTGCTAATCGCTGCACACCGCAGTCGAGAACGGGAGCGGCCACTGCTGCTGTATAATATACCTGTGCGAGACGATTTGCGAGGATTGCGTCGTTTTTTTCGTGTTTCGGTTTTCTTCGTCAACTTTTACTTGCGTGGTTGCACTTTCGAATAGCGTGTTGGCTGAGTGCTTATTAATCAGCCGGTATGGATTATGAGCTTTATAGGCCAATGCTTGTATATTGAAATGTAGGACTAGATTTTCAATCAAGTGCATCTTTATTAGAGTCGATATGCAATGGTAATGCTGATTGCTGCTTTGGAAAATTTTTCTGCATACAGAGTGATTGCGATAACTGTTAGCTGGAATAGGAAAATTACGTAGCTATCGGTCAAGGAAACTGTTTACGTATTTTGCAGTTGTACAAGTAATGATAATGTCATTCACCTGTTGTTATTCATAAGTACTTTTTTGCGTTTTTCAAAAAAGTAACTTTCTCCGACATTTAAAATTATGATTTTATTTTCAACTACAGACCGGATGCTTTAAAAATACAAATAATATATAGTCAAGACTTAAATGTCAAACAATGGTTCATTAATAAAATGTAACACCTTCATGAACTTTCTAAGTGACTTATTTATATTTTGATGAGTATGCGCTGAATGTTGAAAGTACTGTTTTGTGACTTGACAGTTTTTGCACACGACTTTGTCGTGAAATCCTTGCACAAAGTTCTTCTAACAAATAATTAGGAAAATAGTAAGTAGATGATGGATTCTTTGAGAGATAAATGCCATGCGTTTGAGACAAATGAGCATTCAACGGCTCATTAACACACATCTAGTTTTTTAAGAAAATTTTTCATACTTGTACAATGACAATTTTTTAATTACAGCAGCTATGAATACATACAAGTGCTTTTTAATTGAAAGCACGAATGTCCATTCATTTTCAAACGCAATGAGAAAAATTGAGATAAAAAGGCTTTTGAAATATAATTTCATATTACAACATTGGCAACGAAGCAAATTAATTAAAAATCTTTCGAGTTAAGTCTTCGACCTGAAAAGTATATGAAAGAGACACGTTTTTCAAAACAACTACACAATATTAACTACTACTACTACTTTGATGTAAAATCGCTAAGATTAATGTCAAAACGCGTGTAAAAGGTCTGGGCTCACCAATCATACAAATCATACAAATAGAGAGTATTTTTTTAAAAACCATGCAAATAAAATAAACATCCATAAAATTCACGCATGTACGAAGTATTAACTTCACAATAATAATTATTCCAGTATCTTCATTGCAGCAATTTGAAGAAGTCCCTCGAGTCCGAGGCAACATATTTCGTTTCTATTCGAGCCTCGCACATTATACATGTACATAAACCAGTTCATGCCCTACGGCTTTGGCTGCAGCAAACACGCTCACATTCACAAGAAAACCTAGTCTCGTCTCGTCAACCCCAAAAAAGCAAGCCAGCGGGACAAGTGCTAACACTTTCGCACGTGTGGTTCCGCACTCCGATTCTGGCGCAGTACACGTTGCACACACTACCTCGTTTTTCGGGTGTCAGCTGCTACCCCGCAAAAGATAGCTGTATGTATACATACGTAGACGTATCTCCGTTGATGGCGTGGAAATAATTCAAAAGCTGGCGGTGGGTAAATGCGCACACCTCTTCTCCTGCCCAAGATTTATATTCCAGCTTTTAGCCGCGGCTTCCTTATTTTCTCCTTTTCTTCTGCGGATGCTGCCCCTCTTCGGAATGCTGCATCTCGTCTCTCTTTCTCGACTACTTCGTCTCTTCTCCTTTTTTTTCTATGAAAAATAGACCCTAGATACGTACACTCGCCGTTGGGGGACTTATTTGCATCCGACTGCGGATAGTGGTGGTTTACCCACTTCTCGGGGTCATCGATCGCTTGGATAATCCACAGAAGTGTGTGTGTGTGTTGACACGCTTTGGATACTCAGTAGGAATTTTGTCGTATCAACCAGGGAGATTTAGAAAAAGCATCACATTTATCTTATCTGTAAGATTTTTTTTCTTCTAAGTTTGACAGATACCATTAGAAGAGTTTCCGTAGTAGCGGAAATTCAACTTTATACGCCGCTTGATACATAATATGTCATTGATGCTATGTTATTTTAATGCTACTTATGAACAACTTGTTATATTTGTATCGTTTTATACGTGAAAAATAATGTGTTATGTTATGGAGGTGTAAAGATATTTACAGCCCTTTTTGGGCCATGTAACGTTGTCTTTTAAACAACTAAGTTTGAAGTAGATTTTTAATTGAATAGATTTTTGAAATATTATGCTAATAATATATATATATATATATATATATTTTTTAATTTACAGCCCACGTGGCGTCTTTGGGGCGAGGAAAAAGGTGACGGCGTCATCTATACAGTCTATCTAAAGAAAGTATGCTATCACAGGCCTACGCGAAGTATTTCTACTTCGGTGAGTTGAACAATCTTGTTTCAGCGAATATACGATCGTAATAATATTCGATTATCAATTTCTGAAATATTTTTAAATAAAAACTTATAAAACTTATAAAACAACAGACGATCTTTATACCAATAGTAAATAAAATTGTCAACTACAATTACAACATATGTTAAAAACCTTGAAGCAACAATTGGTGTTTATTATCTACATATAATTTTGTCGCAACACTTTATTTATCAGAAGAAATTTTTTAAACCTTATTTTTTTTTTACATTCGACTCTGAAGCGTAAAATGCTTAATCCATATTATTTGTATAATCGATTAGTCACTTTTTCCATTCACATGAAAATTAATTTTTATGGTTTTTACAACAACAATACTTTAATTACAATTATGTTAATTGTACTTATTAGCCATAAAATCATTTTTCTGAAACCAAGGAAATCACACCATATTTCTTTAATTTTTTTGTACTTTAGAAAAAATAAATAAATAATGGCGTAGTTTGAACAAAAACACATTGACATTCTGAATATCGATTTTTTCCTCCTAGATTTAACACTTTTTAAAATTATAGTTAAATTTTTATGCACTATTTACACAAGATGCAGCTCTATTTATTGCAGCTCCAGTTTTCACCAATTGTGATTAATATTGATGGTAGTAGGGAAATAACTAATAACTATAGTTATGTCTCTTGTTGGTTGAGATGGATCAGTTGGTACAGTACGATTCTCATGGTTCGACCTTTTTCGATTAAGTTCGAGACCACAATGTGCTCAAAAAAGAGACATATATATTAGAGAAGGGACAATCAAAATCTGTATTCACAGTGACTAAAATAAAATTAAAATAATACATCCATCTGACACACATGATATATCTATAAAATCGATTTATTTATACACATTTTTTATTGTCCTTTTGACATAGATTTAGCCACAAGACTCCATCCTAACACTTAGCAATTTTTTTTATTTCGAAAACTTATTTCTTCCTTACATTGTAAATACATTTTATTTTGGAAAAGATCCAAGTCGATTACACTTATATACAAATATTTGGGTAATTGAAAATGTTAAATGTTCAGCATAACAAAAAAGACAAGATCCATCGAATCATTGAAAAATGATGCGAATATAAGTACTAGATCAACACATCTCTCAATCCGTAGATAATTGAAACCCTCAATTTTATAGTTGATAGATATCTTATTTAGCTCGTACGTAATTATTGAATAAAAACAATCGATGTATCCCTTCCAAAGGACTCGGACGACGAGATTTCGCACCTAGAATGGGAGACGGTGCGGGTGCGCTTCCTAAAAGCCGGTACAGTGCAGCGGCTCGTCGAGAGCCTAGCAAACGACGACGGCGAACTGGAATCGACTTACATAAACGTCTTTTTGGCAACTTACCGAGCATTCACGACGCCCCACGAGGTCCTAGATCTTTTGCTTGCCCGCTACGATTCGCTCGACGAGGTGAGCAACACCCAACACCGCAAGACTCTTGTCCAAGCGTTGCATGTCTGGCTGGACGCCTATCCAGGTGACTGGCGCTCACCCCCCGGCCATCCCTTACTCACGCAGCTCCTTGACTTTGCCCATCGGAGACTGCCTGGCTCTGAACTCGAGCTCAAGGCTCGGAATCGCCTGCTCAGGTTCTCGTCCGTCCAGCGTGATGACCAAATTGGTAAGTGACTGGTTTTTAATGTTTTTTGTTTTGTTTTTATTTTGCTCAGTAATCATTTATAAATTAATTATTACAATCAGAAAAGTTGTTTCATCATCAAGTAGTCAAAGAAATTGATGTAACAGGATCGCGTTATGAATTTTAAATGTGACTAAACAATGGAGTTGTAAATTTATTGTAGTTGACACTAGTTTTACATAATAAGATTTGCAACCTAAACTGATTTGGTTTGATGCTGAAATGCGTTGATCTATTTATACGAAGTTGAATAAAGATATATGTATATTACGGCAAAATATTTGTTAATTGCTAATAAATGATATCATTTTACGTAGCACATTCAAATCAAAATAATGAACTAAAATTAAGATGAATGAAAACATCTAAATTTCATATTTTTTTAATAATTACCATTGCACAAAATAAGAACAATTCATAATATACTCTCTTTATTAAATCAATCAATACATCGAGATTTTTATTTATAAACTGAAAGGCCTCTGTCGATGCGATTACAATAGGCTTATGGATAGTATATTTGTTGTAAAAACGGAATGACGTACATGTAGCAGATAAATACTTAAATTACGTTAGTTTTAAATTACATTTTGTGTATACGCAGAAAATTTTTACTATTAAAAATTTGATATCCAAATAGTTCAATTTATCTGTAGAATTAAAAAGACTTATTTCTAAAATGATCACCATAAATGTCAATTAGGGAATTGTATCTGCCATAAAAGACAATTAATAGAGTAATGAATTAATAAACTAAATGTCTCAATTCAGACACCATTTATTAGACACTCGATTACATTGAAAACTTTTAAAGAGATGACTCAGTTTTTTTTAAAACATCCGTATTATTTAACCATAAACAAAGGTAAAAAACAAACAACAATAAACTTGATATCATCAATAGGGCGTATAACACTCAGTAAGATATAATCCATCAAGTTGTCACTGTCCATCATATCTCATTACTTCTTTTCCCTGCTCATCTTCAGCTTATCAGCGCCTATCACTTCTGATCCCAAGTTTACTTATGATTGCTTATCACTGCTTGTCCCTGATTATCATCGCCTATGCTCACGACAAGTTAAATCTTCCCCGCTTATGTAATCGTAACGTAGAGTCTTACTCTCTATAATTTATTGTTACAATTTTACTCATTCGATGACGATATCATCGCTTACCATTGCTTACCCAAACGGCACAATGTTTTGAATCTTCTAAGCTTTAGCATTAAAAGTATTCGTTCAAATGACATTAAGTCTCCCGTATGGATGTCTCTCTTCTAATCACAAGCCATCATTGTTCCTCGTCACTTAATCATACAAAAGTAGTGACGCAAAAAATTATACCGACGACATCAAAAACTCTTACAGACAACGCGTACCCGATCTACGACAGCAACGGGCGTTTCGGGCCGTTGCACGACTCGTTTAACGACAACATCTGGTCGAACTACGCGTTACCGGAGGTGCCGCACCGTCACTTTGCGGAGCAGCTTACTCGCATGGACGCCGAGGTATTTAAGAAGCTCGTGGCCCACCAGTGCCTGGGCGCAGTCTGGTCGCGGCGCAGCGACCGCTCGCGCAGCCACGAAGCCTCTACGGTCCTCGCGACGGTGAATCAGTTCAACGCGGTCTCGCTGCGCGTCATCTCGACGAGCCTGCTACCGGAGGACGGCACCAAGACGCAGGACCGCGCCCGAGTGATCGAGACCTGGATCGACATAGCTCAGGAGCTGAGGGTGCTCAAAAACTTCAGTAGCCTCAAGGCCATAGTCTCGGGCTTGCAGAGCAATCCCATCTACAGACTCGAAAAGACCTGGCAGTGCATACCCCGGGAGAAGCACGAGGTCTTCCGCGAGCTCGAGCGGATCTTCTCCGAAGAAAATAACGCCTGGACCCAGCGTGAGCTCCTCATGAAGGAGGGCACGGCCAAATTCGCCGACACGGCTGGAAGGAGCGACAGGCACCTACAGAAGATCCTACAGAAGCAGAACACCAGTGCAGGGGTGAGTTTTGTTTATTCTTCAATTTTTCCTCTAATAAATTTGAACGAAGGAACGAATAAGAATCTTCATAATATTGTCTACCTCTTCCTTTGCAAACGTAGAATATCAGCTACGGAACGATACCGTACCTGGGCACCTTCCTGACCGATCTGACAATGATCGACACCGCGATCCCGGATACGATAGCCGATGGGCTGATAAACTTCGACAAGCGTCGCAAAGAGTTCGAAGTGCTCGCCCGCATCAGGCTGCTCCAGGGAGCTGCGAACGCCTACAACTTTAGCGCTGACCCGCTCTTTGAGCGCTGGTTCCACTTGATCGAGGTGTTGGACGATCGCGAGGCCTACCGGCTGAGCTGCCGGATCGAGCCACCCCCGGCCGGCACTGCTAGTAACAATCGCCTCCAGGCAGTCCCGGTAGTGAAGAAGAAGCAGCACAATCACCACCACCACCACCACCATCACAACCACAATCACTCGGGTCATCGAAAGAACGACTCGATCGCCTCGACCTCCAGCTCGAGTAGCTCTCAGTTTTACTGCGATTTGGACTCGTTGCCGAGGTATGAAATGGTTTTAGTTTTTTTTTTTTTTTTTTTTTTACAGCTGTTTGAGCTTAAAATTAGTGTTTCATTCAACGAATTCAATTGAGATGATAACTTGTTGCATTTTGTGGCAAGGATTTATGAATTTAAAAAATTCACGGTTATACCTGAATACAACCTTTTTTTTAATGCTACGCTGAATTTTTCGACGTAAACTTAATATTGAGATCAGACTAATTGGGTAGTACGACAATTTTTGTTCAGCATAAAACTGACAAAGTAAAATAATCGAATGTATTATGAGGATACCAGTATTTTTAGTCAGCGTAGCAATAAAAAGAAAGACGGAGAAAGGTTTCGTAAATAACATGCCAGAGGAGGAACAAGCTAGTTGATTTCAGTTTTGATAGCGCGTTCTTCTTCCTTGCTTGGTAATAATCGAGTAGAAGAAGCCTGTAAGAATAAGTACTTTAGAGTTGAATAGTGTAGTTTAAAAACACAAATAAAAAACCTAAAAATTGCAGCTCACCGCACAACTCGCTCGACAGGCGGACGTCACCCTCGCAGATGTCCTCCTCGTCCTCCTCGTCTTCACTGCCCTCCCTGGACATCTCGTTGAGCTCCGGTGGTGGCGGCGTCACAAACGGATTGAATGGTAGCCAACAGAGCCGCTCCAACACCTCGCAAGTCTCAAATTCCAACGGCATCGGTGCCAACGGCGGACCATCGAGTCCCGGGCACTCGCACGTGAGCTCTCCGGACTTTTACATCATCAAGGTGACCATGGAAAGCGACAGCCGCGAGACCGAGGGCGTTGTTCTCTACAAGTCGATCATGCTCTCGAACAACGAGCGCACGCCCCAGGTCATACGCAATGCCATGCTCAAACTCGACATCGAGGGCAATCCCGACCAGTTCACGCTGGCTCAGGTGCTACCCGACCGCGAGATGGTACTGCCGAGCTCGGCCAACGTCTATTACGCCGTCAATACGGCCCACAATCTCAATTTTATTCTCAGACCGAAAAAGACCTGAGACGCCGGGCCCAAAAGTTTTTGTATTTCATTTTTGATACGTTGTACGGTAGCGTGGTACAATCAAACTTACATTGCCGGTTAATTTTGCGTTTTATGTGTGCTGATTACGATCATTAAACGTGATTTTACGCTAAATGAGCTTGGCTTATGTGCTCTTGTCCACTGCAATGATTAATAATCAAGTTTATTAGAAGAAATGTAGTTTTTCATATCTTACTAGAATAGCTCTTTGCCCGATTCCTTACAATGTTCATTTTTAAAAGGTAACCTAACTTTCGAAGTTAATAAATCATTTTCTGTGCTAATAATAACACGATTTTTTATAGAATCGCTTTATTAAACCAGCACAAAAACAGGAATTTTGATAGTTTAATATACTACCAATTTTTTTAAGACACTGCTTTATATATTTACAATTTACAGTGAAACCCAAAAAATTTTCAGACTGTCCATTCAAATTATGAATTTAATAATAAAATAGTAGTACAAATGTATGTAATAAATGACATCAATAAAATCATATTCTAGAAANAAAAAAAAGAAAAAAAAAAAAAAAAAAAAAAAAAACTGTGTGTGTGCATCCGCCCAAGTTTGAGGATATGTTATTCTAATAGAATATCAAAGCTGTAACATTGTATTGAATTTCCGTATCTGAAGTTTTTTATTTTAAGGACAACGACGAATGTGTATAATTGTGTATAATTGTATCCATAAGTTTTGTAGAATATCACAAATTATTAAAATTCTATGAAACGCCTGTGCGAAAAAAAAATCTTTCATGGAAGTTTTTAGTCTAATTAATTAGCTGTTGTAACTAAATATGTCAATTGTAAGTGAAAGAGAAACAGTACATTTTGCAGTATACATGCGCAAACCATGACAGTTAAGATTTATCTTAATAAGCGATAACAAAACTCTCTGTATTATTGTCCAAGTTTAGTGCAAAGTGAAATAATTGAAGACTGTATGAAATGTTACGTATAATTCTTGTAATATCATTTTTTATCGTTGGCTTTTGTTCATCTACTACTGTTTTTGAGTGCAATCGTGATAATTTAACGTGTAACGTAATAATGTATGCGACGAAACACGATATTTGTCCGTTTATGTGTGTATTTATAAATAAAAATAATGACATTGTGCATGAGCGAAACGATCTGTATTAATAATAATAAGATGTAAGTCACGCGCGTTGTTTGCGAAAAAACAACAGAGAACCAGTGACCTTTTGTAAATATATGCATTTTTATGCTTGTTCAAGCGAGCCATGGCTTGCAAGCAATATACTTATACTAAATTTAGACGAACAAAGAGAATAACGCAATTTCTGCATATTAAATAAAACAAATGATTAAATATTACAATTTTTGATGAAATCTTGTTATGTATTATACATTGCAACTGAGGGGCAATACATTTAGATTATTGAGCTGCTCGATGTATGTAGGACCCTATGTGTTTGATTTTTGTGTGTGTATGTGTGAGTGTGTGCACTCGAATAGAAGATATTTTCTACAATGAAGCTTCTTCTGTTGACGCAAAGTTGTTTACAAATTTTATTGTCACCGTTTTCAAGAAGAAAAAAAAAGTTTTTAAAAGTTCTGTGATACTCTGGAGAAATATTCCACCATTGGCCTTGTATGTTGAACAGTTGCAGAAATTCATTATAAATTTTGAATAATACTCAAGTAATACGAGAATCTATCGACACCTAAGTTAGTGATTTGGAAAAGAAAGTTTATATCGAAATATCGTCAAGCACAAATGAGAAAAAATGCGAAACCATCCAGTTAAGCGGTGCGTATGCCGAATAACATATGTTGTGTCTTATAGTTATAGTCTTAGGCCGTTTTGTACTTATTTTCTTGTCAAACTTTACTTTGAATCACAGTTATTCTCTTTTTGAGAGTTAAACGCATAAAAATAACAATACACAAATCATCCAGTTTAACAACATGGGTTTTCTTTTCCACCTTTCTACTAAACTTGTTACTTATAATTTAAAGTGTAAAATGTAGTTTTCTTACTGGTTGACATCTAGTTTAACTGTGAAATAAAACTTGTGCTTATCAAAATACACTTTAAATCAAAATTACTTTTGGAATGGAATCCAGTCCTAAAAAGCTTTTGGTTTTGCTTAAACGATTTTTGAGAAGAGTAATTTTATTTAAAACAGAATTTTTCCCATTTTAATGTTTATTTTTCATTAAAATCAAGAAACAATGATTTTTATTAAAATGAAAAAAACACCACTGTCAATTTTTTGACAACGATGTTTTTTAAACTTTTCTTTATCACTTTTTGATTTCAGACTTCGAATTGTAAGTTTAGTTTATCGCTTCAAAAAAGGGAATATTCTATTCAGGCTGCTGGAAAAAATTGTCCTTCAAGTGGCAATAAATATGCGATCAGGGACATTCTCCAGTTTTTCGTTCTAGTAACGTAGTACTATTTCAATGTAATCATTGGAAGTTTATAGCACCATAAACGCTAAAGACTTTAGCCCCGTTCTTGTATCTCAAAATAAAGCAATACTTTTTAATGATTTAAATTCATTTACAAAAGATTTTAGATCTATATCTTCTTATATCTATAATAAAATTTAAATCCATAGAAAGCATACAAATTTTGACTTGCAAAGTTGTCATCATAGTTTTACAATGCTCTGTTATTTATAAAAGTGTTAGTCAATAACTGAAGTGATGTATAAAGTAGAAAACATTAGATTAGCGGTATGCCATGCGTAGTGTGGCCTCATACTAATACGTGAAGAAAAATGAGATAGAGACTTATAACTTCAATTCAAGTGTACAGTTATTTCAGTTAGTAGCCCACTGTTGCTTATTAAAAACAGAACTATTATTCAAACGAGTAGAGATAAACTTTTCTGAATACGCATTTAAAAGTTAAATAACGATACGAAATTAAATTTTAAATTAAAAGATATTACAAAAAGTTAGCAGCATAATTCGTCATAACTCATACGTTATAGTACCACTACGAGTAAATAACAAGCCAGCCGATCGTAACCCACCGTTAAGAATATCAAGTGGGAATTGAGAAATTGGTGCGCGATAGCCATCGAAAAACTGCCAGTGTTTTAAAAGGTGCGGGGGTGGAAAAAAAAACGCGCGACTGACCGTATGAAAGCGTAAGGTGGAGGGCAAGGACGCGTGTGCACAGACTTCCTGCAAAGCTTCCGGGACACGCTAACCTGTTGACTCTTGCAGTCACTGCTCTCCCATCAGGGAGTGCAACGTGTGTAATGAAAGGTGTTCACGGAGCAGTCATTTTTTCCTTAATTTAATCGCCAAACCGTCAATCTTTGTCATCAACTTGTGACTTAATCAGAGTTTTGATGTTTAAAGTAGTTTGCGAACCGAGTATACCTCCTATTTACTTATGTATCACGAGTGTGCATGGACACAGTTGTTTATGATGTTCTCACGTTTTACTTGTACAACTTACTTTCTTCCTTAATTTCTGATGCATATCAACAGGCTGGAGTGAACACTTACTAGGTACGGGCGGGTAATTGAAGGGCTGCTAAAAACTTGAAGTTTATTGTTTCGATCGTGTTTGCCCTGTACTTTTCCAAAACGGAAACGGGTTCTTAAATTTGCTTGGATTATATTGATTGTGAGATAAAAAAAAGGCGTGCTAAGTTGCGCTTGGCTTCTATTGCATGGGAGATTTCTTGAGCTATCGGGTAATATATCAAGACTGAATACAAAAAAGTGCGTCTATTAAACGTACACTATAAAAAAACTGGTATTCTAGTGTTGGTCAAAGCATGCTATTCTCGACATGTAATATGCTTTAATCAACTTTTTATTCCAATCATTTCAAAAGCATTTGCAGTAATTTTTCAAGTGTCAGATTCCATAACAACTTTGTGCCTTACATAAAAAAAAGATTCAAACATCATTCGGTGAACTAATTACCATTTTTATTCTACTAATATTTTATGAAGATAAAATTTAAAAAGTCATCAATTACACAGAAATGGCTAGAAATATATTGGTGTACCTGTTTTTTCTAGCATGTTTTACTTTGAATTATCTTTGTAACAACTGAATTAAAACCAAATGCATAAAATACACTTGTAAAAAAAAAAAAGAAAACATTTCATAACCGAAACACCTACCATAATGTTAAAGACAAAAAATCGACACATTCAAAGCATCGAAAGGCTTTTTTATTACTTAGAAGCTCAAAATTTGTGGGAAAAATAACGCTTCAAAAGAGCCAATATACGTACACTAGCAACGTGCAACTGATGAAAACAGGTAGGTACATGTCTGACTCAACTCGACTCGTACTACTTGCACGCCATGTTCGAAGCATCGAAGGACTTTTATATTACTTAGATGAGCAAAATTTGTGGGAAAAATAACGCTTCAAAAGAGCCAATATACGTACACTAGCAACGTGCAACTGATGACAACAGGTAGGTACATGTCTGACTCAACTCGACTCGCACTACTTGCACGCCATATTCGAAGCATCGAAGGGCTTTTATATTACTTAGAGGCTCAAAATTTGTGGGAAAAATAACGCTTCAAAAGAGCCAATATACGTACACTAGCAACGTGCAACTGATGACAGTAGCGAGCGAGCACGCGGGGCGGTAGTAGGTACATGTCTGACTCAACTCGACTCGTACTACTTGCACGCTTAGTCTCGCCTTCTCGCGCACTTCGACCCTCCGAACGAAGCTTGAACGCTCAATCGTCAGGTGCCGCTGCAAGCCACCTCCCTTCTGCTCTTGTCTCCCGCATTCTTTAGACGGTAGCAACCCCGAGTGGAAGCCACCCTGTATCACCAGTACAGTCCCGAGCCCGGGCCGCAGAGCAGAGTGCGTGCGTGGGTGCGCGCGCGAGAGGCTCACTCTTTCTACCTACCCTGCTATCATCAGTACAGCTGGTGTTGGCATAGCAGTGGCAGTGCGGGCGCGAAATGAGAGTACGATCAGTGTAGTCGCCAATCGTGTTCCGCTGTAGCAGCTGTCGTTGCATTGGTAACGAGAAAAATAGCCAAAAAAAATGCGCGACATGAGAGCAGCTAGACGATATCAGTCGGATAGCGACGATCGTCCCCCTTTCACCACTGGCATAACCTCCTCGGCGAGCTCCGACAAGCTGGTTTGTGCCAATTGAGGAGAAAACGGTACCTGCACATGTACACGCGCTCGTACATCCACTGCTGTAGACAGTAGCGCGGGAGAGATTCGCACTCGGGAAGACAGGCCGAGAGGTAACACACAAGAGGGACGATGCGTCGGGAGGACGAGAGAGGGAGAGCGGACGAGCGAGAGCGCTCGCTCGCTGCTGCCCTTGCCTCGGAGTAAGCCTGCCTCCCTTCTCTTCTGGGGAAAAAGCTCCTCGTTCGCCCGTCCGCTGCGAGCGTCCTTGTTTTTTCCCTTTTACTGATCTTTACTATCAAACCAAGTGCGCGACCGCTGCTGCTGTTTCATCGCTTCCGTGTGTGGTTCCCTCTTACGAGGAAACAGAGGAAGAAGTGCAGGTGCGTCGAGCTTGCGGACATGAGCGCGCCAGCCAGCCTCCTCGCTCCGGTGAGTAGTCGTCTTTTCCCGTTCCCCTCTTCCAACCTGCGTTTCTCCCTAACGAGGCGTTTGCTTTTTCAACGGAGCTTGTGGAAATTTACCGTGGCAAGGGGATAAAGGGAAAGCTCGCGCGCACCAACAACTTTTTTTGCTTTTCTACGCTCGTGCGTGCTTGTACACCTGAAGTTCGCTCTTTGACCCAGTGAACACTGAACGCGTACTTACACACGCGTGGAGCTTTTCAATTTTTACTCGTGTGTCGAGCGAGTGGCTCTAAAACCGTGTGTGAGGCTGTAAACAAAAATTTTACTTCATGAATTTTATTTGTTTTTTCAAGCCAGTTGAAAACGGGATAAGCGCAGCTGGGGGGTAAGCTTGTAGCTGCGTTGGGGCTCGGTTTAGAAATCTTCAACTTCTCGTTGTCTTTTTATGATACTAGTACTACCACGTGGAGAGTGTGTAGGGAATATTTTGACGTTCAAAGCTATTTTTAATACTGTATAGTGTTAAATCGATGAATATATGCGCCAGGTAGGATGAATCGACGAGTTTGCTTGCTGGAAAGAAAGTTTTTTGTCGGAGGAACATCACCTAAACTATTTTCAATGCGGAATTGCTTGTCGTGATTGTTTGTCGTAATTGTTTGTCGTGAAAATAAACAGATAGTTTTGTCAATAGTAAAACATATTGGTCGTGTTTCGAGTTAGATTTGCATCTGAATTAAATAGTTCTAACATGTTGAACCAAAAATTTATCCTAATTACACACAAAAATGAAAACCACCTGCAATGATTTTTAATATTCTTAACATTTCATCATTAAATACTATTAACTGTCCAGGCTGCACGAAAGCCTGTGTAATTCAGCAGTAAAGCGATGAATAAAAAAATGAGCACAAAGACAACGTCGTGATGTAACGTTCACGTAGCAAAACCCGATCCATTCTCTTTTGACAGCCTACAATTTCGATCGCTCTTAAACGTCATGGCTACCTATATCATTTTGTCTTGATAAAACCGTCAGAAGCCCCCTTGGGTATTCGAGACTCGGCGTCGCAAGCCAGAGGTAGAGAATCCATACACACAACCACGCGCATAAATCTCCCGATCCGTGCGGTGATTTCCGCACACCATCGCATTTCATTTCTCTCTCTTTCGCGCACCTACATACACACTCTCGTTAATTACGAGTTTTATTGATTGTTGCGCTTATTAGCGCTTACGTCAAACGTTACCACCCTCCGTCTAAATACCATCGCTGTCTCAAGCGATGTTTCAATTTAAATTTTGAAATCTCGGCTGTGCAGTGATCGTCGTATTGTCAGTGTTTTTATGTGGATTAGTTCTGTTTGTCTTTTTTTTTTCAAAAAAGTGTTTAAAGTTTTTTTGCTGATGGAATTTATTCCCATCGCATAGAATTTGTAATTATTCAAAACAACTTTTTTCCAATTTCCATTTCCGTAGCGATTTCGGAAAGATTTCTCGACGAAACCACGGTACATCGCGTGTATCAAAGCTTTTTGAATAATCCATAGATTTATGACGAGTCATCAATAATATGGAACAAAACTTGAATAATAAAAAGTTTCGTTGACGTAGTAAAAGCCCCTTTTCAAAATATATCAAGAATGTACAGTGACATTAAAAGTAGGTTGCGTTAAAAGTTACGTGTATACGGTTTCTAATATCAAGAAAAAAAATGTGAAAAAGCTCGTTAAATTATTTAGGCATACAGTCATGACTGTTGATGTCATTTGGGCTGCTCAGCTAATCTCTAGTGGAAGATACTTAGGCTGTTTTAGTAGGATCGTTCTACGACTGGCATTACCTCTTTTTGCACCTCGTGAATTCAAAAAATGGGCCGAGTAATTTGCATCCCTCTTCAAAGAATGCCCAAGAAGTATTTTTCTTTTCCTAGTTTTCGTTTTTTGTAAAAATTAAAAAAAAAGGTAGTGTTACTTTCGTTTTTATGATGATTATAAATATTCAGTATGCTTATTATCTTTAAAAAAAGTTCATTAAGATCCCCTTTGAAATGATTTCTTTGCAGTACTTTTTTCTGGGCTTTTATCAATAATTTGCAGCATTAAATGCTTTTGTCTTTTCTTTCATACGTAAAAAATGACTATCCAAAATGGTGGGAGTTAACCAATGAACTTTATATTTTTCATAAAATATCAATTAGTACTGTTACTAATAACAATGACTCATAAGGCACAAACTCATTCTCATTTGTTTTACAATGAAATTCCTCTCAAGTCGGCACAATATTTCTGAATAGGTTTTTGTTAAATATTGAAAGTGCAGCTTTAAGTTTAATTCAAAGACTTTTCAAGACCTCAATAAGTTGAAGAGTTCTTTAGAACTACTTGATAACTTCGATGACGAATGGCTTTCTTCGAGATGCATCTCCTTTATTATGAATTGCTATTATATTTTATATAATTAACTAAAAATGAAATGATAAAATAATTTATAAAGAAAAAAAATCATAAACTGAATGTAATTGTTAGATCATTAATCTAAATTTCAAATACTTGACCATGATAAATTTTAAACGACGTATTTAAAGAAGTATTAAAAGCCAAAAAATTATTTGTAAGACTTTTGTGTCAAATAGTAATGTTATGTTTATAATGTAAAACACCGCTGTTGGATGTGCCAAGAAGTAGTCAGCCAATTATTAAGTATCGATGTACTTGACTCTCAATTTTTTAACGATATCCAAAATTGATGAAATTTAATGTATGCCTTTGTGCATACAGTTCAAAATGAAAGAATGTTGTATGGTAAATTATTTTCAACACAACTTGATGTTGTCGGTAAATATTACTCATTAAAAAAATTCATCAGAGGCTTTGGGCTCTAATTTGCTCAGAAATTCGTTAAGTTTAATCAATAATAAGAAAAAGCATCGTTTCATTTCTAAAAAAATTTTGACAAAAGAGAGGCGCGCGTGTGTACTAACACTGTCGATCTACTTGATGACTGACATTACCAACGTATAGAATATACTTTCATGGATACCTCAATACACACATAGTTATTTTAGGACTCGTTGCCATAGCACCCTTTATGTAGAGCTTTACAACATACACCCCTCATTAATACCACCCTTACTTAAGGACAAAAATTTGACAGAGGCAAACCTAAAATCCATGAATTACAACGAATGCAGTGAATAATTTTACTGCAGCACTTGAAATTTTTTGCGATAAAGGTTGCCTCAAACTATTTCCCAAGTATCAGCTGGTTTCTTTCTTGCAAATCAATTACAAAAATATTTTGCAAATTCGTGATCCTTATGACTTTAATAATAAAAAAAAAGTGTACTTGCATTGCATATATTATTCTCGCGCAAGTAATACTACACCTGAACCTAAAATTTCCATGATAACCACATTGATCAGCTCGTACATCAAGTTAATCATACCTAGCTGTATATACAGTCACTACATATAGGTTTACATTGGTATAGGAGCGCCACTAAGGGTCAGAGACGTGTGTGGCCACGAAAATTCTCGGCATCCAAAGTCAAGTGGAGTAAAGGTAGTAAAAAAGAATGAGAAGCTGTCTTCATGCTACGTTCCGTCTCTCCTTCTCTCTCTCTCTCTCTCTCTTTACCTGTTTGTCACGTACGCGCTCGCGTGAAGGCTGCCACCCCACCCTGACTCGTACAAATTTAATACATACTTCATAGCATATACGTGCTTGATCAGCTGGTCAGCTGACGTCGAGGAAATTTCCAGGGAGAGTTAGTTTACTGGTATGTGTATTCGCACGCGTGTCATTAAAAATTCAATAGTTCAGGTTTTACGTGTATATTGTACATGTATATATAAATCAGGTTGTTTACGTAATAGGAAGGAGGCGGAAGAGAGAGGGTCTTGAGGTCAAAGGGAGGGCTTCGATTTTTATCTGTAATTTTAGTTTTTTTTTTTTTTTTTTTTTTTTTCTCTCACAAGAGATGACGAGTTAAGATTAAAGGTTCTAGGACTTAGGATTGTTTGTCGTATACATGCAGACAAAGATGACTGGTGGTATTTTCCCAGCTGCTTGGATTTTGGATGGATTTACGCAGCTTTGTTAGTTTGAATAATGGTGGAGTCGTGCGAATGAATAATCAGGTGTTGGGCATGATTGAGCTCGAAATCAGTTGTCGATCTCGTAATTTGGTTTATGGTATCTGATGGACTACAAATTTCTTGCCTTCGCGTATCGTGGGAATTCCAGTAATGATTTTTGTTTTATTTTCCATCTCGTTGTATAATATTAGAACTCGTATGATTTGTAGTATACAATGATTTAACTTATGATGGATAAAAATCATTTTTTATTTAAAACATTTTCGTTTGAGACAAATGCAACTATAATACCTCTAAATCTGAAAAAAAACTTTTTTTTAGTACAATAAATCTTTAAAGATTCAAAGAAAATTCAAGTATTTTTGAACAAAAGGAATTTATAAATCATCGCGTATCATATAAGCTGCTTTTGAATAATGGAGAACAATTTTTGGCTTTGACGAGCCAAAGGAGATCGAACGCCCTTTGGGTCGTCTATATGTAGAACCCTTTGTTCGTCGGAGCGTGGTAAAGTATTTGGATCCCCCATTCCGCATCTGTACCCTCCAAAACGAGGGACTATTTTTCCATCCAACAACATGACGATCCCTCACATTCCACCATGGTATGTATGTGTGGATGCTATACGTCCACGACGACATCGCACACCAACTTTTTCATATCTATATACCCGCGAGCTTTCGATATCTGCCAATTGCCTTCTGTACGCCCCCAACTTTCCATCACATTTCTGCCTCACCTAAGCTCCGCATTTTTCAGTCCACTCGTTCCTATTATCGATTCTCCAACCAAGCGTGAACAAAAAATCTGTCTGGCCCAAAAAAGAGGAACTCGAACATATCAACACCACGCCACCATATTCATAAGATTGTGGGCATAGTTAAGGGTGCAACGAGAGCGTTCAATTCCACCTGACTCTAGAATT